GTCTCTCAGTCCAACCTTCACCAGAGGCCAGTCAACTCGTTCCCTCTACCTACCATGACTTCCTCAATGTGTTTGATTAAAAAGAAGACCGACACATTGCCTTCTCATCGGTCTTACGATTGCCCAATTGAGTTACTCCCAGGAGCAGAAATACCATTTCGGCAAATTTTCCCATTATCCGAGCTTGAGCTGGAAGCCCTCCGGCACTATCTAGACGAGAATCTCGCTAAATGATTTATCCGCCCCTCTTCCTCTCCTGTCGGGGCTGGTATTTTCTTTGTATAAAAAAAAGATCGGTCTCTTAGACCGTGCATCGACTACAGGGAACTTAATAAAATTACCATCAAAAACCGGTATCCTCTTCCTCTGGTGCCCGAGTTATTTCAGCGATTTCAAACAGCCCGAGTCTTCACTAAATTGGACTTACGGGGAGCCTAAAATTTAGTCCGTATAAGAGAGGGCGACGAGTGGAAGACCGCCTTCAGAACACGCTTCGGACATTTTAAATATTTAGTGATGCCATTTGGGCTATGTAATGCCCCTGCTACGTTCCAACATTTTGTGAATTACATCTTTAGAGAATACCTAGACCTTTTTGTGATCGTCTACCTGGATGATATCCTAATTTTCTCCACCTCACTGAAACTCTATCGTGTTCATGTTAGGAAAGTGCTAAACAGCCTAAGGATGTATGGCTTTTACGCCAAGGCGGAGAAGTGTGAGTTTGAGAAGCAGTCCATTCAGTTCCTGGGTCTCATAATTTCCACCGAGGGGATCTCATTTGACCCTCAAAGTATCTGCTATCCTGGATTGACTTCACCTTCAGACAGGAAAGGGGTCCAAAGATTTGTGGGTTTCGCCAACTTTTACCAGAAGTTTATTAAGGTCTTTTCCACAATCATTGCCCCTATTACTCAACTCACCCGCCAGCATACACGATTTTGCTGGAGCCAGGAAGCTCAAAAAGCATTCGAGCAATTAAAAGATCAATTCACCTCTGCTCCTGTGTTACAGCATCCAGATCCAAAACTCCCCTTCATCCTGGAGGTAGTTGCTACAGGAGCCATACTCTCCCACCACCAGGGCCCAAAGGCTCTGCTTCACCCAATAGCCTTTTGTTCTAGAAAACTGAGCCAAGCCGAGAGGAACTACGATGTGGGAGATAAGGAACTGTTAGCGATTAAATTAGGCTTCGAAGAATGGAGGTATCTCTTGAAAGGAGCCAGTCACCCAATTATGATTTTCACAGATCATAAAAATCTGGAGTATCTAAGGTCCGCCAAGTGCCTAAGACCTCGACAGGCTAGATGGGCTTTATACTTTTCCAGGTTTAACTTCCACATAACCTACCGCCCAGGATCCAAGAACGGGAAGGCAGATGCCCTTTCCCGCATGTTCCCGGACCCAGAGGAGCCTTCTCCCCCAACACCATTTTGTCGGCCCAAAATTTTTTGCTGATCCAACCCACCCTAAAGTCTTTGATCAAGCAAGCCTCTGCTCTATGCCCTGAACCTGAACAAAAATCTTTGTACCCCAAGAAGTGAGTTCTCAAGTGTTAAGGGCTTTTCATGGCCATCAACTGGCTGGACACTTTGGAACCCGTAAGACAATGGAACTAATCCAGTGATCCTTCTGGTGGCCAAATCTGAATCATGACTGTAAAGCTTATGTGAAGTCTTGCACAGTGTGTCTGCGGAACAAGGGAGACAAAGCCAAGGCCTGGGGGTTGCTGAGGCCCCTGCCCATTCCTGATTGTCCCTGGGAGATGATCGCAATGGACTTCATTGTGGATTTGCCACCCTCGGAGGGGTTTACTACCATTCTAGTAGTATTGGATCGGCTATCCAAGATGGCCCACTTTTTACCAATGGTGGGTACGCCATCCGCACCAGAGACTGCACTAACCTTCATCAAAGAGATTGTCAGGTTACATGGTCTGCCTAGTAATATTGTCTCAGACCGAGGGGTCCAGGTTCTGGAGAGCCCTCTGCAAAGCCCTGAAGGTGGAACGCTGCTTATCGTCCGCCTACCATCCCCAGAGTAAGGGGCAAATGGAGCAAACGAACCAGACTTTGGAGCAATATTTACGGTGCTTCTCTGCCTTTTCTCAGGATGATGGGTATCTCTACTCCCATTGGCAGAATTTGCCTACAACAACTCAGTCCATTCTGCCACAAACCAGTCACCATTTTGGGCCAATTATGGATTCCACCCTTCTTCCATACCTGACACCATTTCTGAAGCTTCGGTACCCGCAGTACAGGACAGACTCTCCATGCTGCAGAACAACTGTAAAGTCCTCCAAGAGTCTATATTGAAATCCCAGGGCAATGATAACAAACACTACGAAAGGAAACGGAGAGGAAACCCTCCTCTGAAGATTGGAGACAAAGTTTTCCTATCAACTGCCAATCTAAAACTCCCGTGCCTGTCACGTAAGTTGGGTTCAAGGTACATTGGCCCTTTCCAGATCAAGAGGGTAATAAATCCAGTGGCGTTTGAGCTGATCCTTCCGGAATCATACAAGATCCACCCAGTTTTCCACGTCTCCATACTCAAGCCAGCTGTTCCTGATCCTTTTCCCGGGAGAGTAGAACCACCTCCTCAGCCGATAACAGTTGGGGAGGAGATGGAATATGAGGTTGAAGCAATTCTGGACTGCAGAAGGCGGGGAAGACAAATCCAGTACCTGGTCAGATGGAAGGGGTTCCCACCTGAAGAAAGTTCACCAAAAGGGAATGTACATGCCCCCAGGCTTCTCCGAGAATTTCATTCCAAGTATCCTGAAAAGATGGCCCAGGTGGGCATTCGGAGGCTGCCCTTTAGGGGAGGGCACTGTCCGGATCCTGTCCACAGCAAGAGTTCTGGAAGATCTGGCACTTCTGCCAATACTCCTACATGGCCGCAGAAGTACACATCAGCCTCTTTATAAGGAGGCTCATCACTTCCTCTGGTTGCTGGATGATCTCTAGCTCCCTGTGCCCTGTTCCTGTTTCCTGTGTTCTGACTTCTGATTTCCTGTTACTGACTCGGCTTGCTCCTGGACCTGTGTACTCTGATTTAACCCTGACCTGACCTCGGCTTGGCTTACAGATACCCTCTCTCTAGCTCCTCTGTGAATGACCTTGGCTTTCCCATCTGACTACATCCGCTCTGATTCCCACTTGGTACCTGACCTTGGCTTGAACCGACTGTCCAGTAAACATCTAAATCCCAGAAGGGCTTGCATACCACACAGGCGCTTCCTGTCTGCAGACCTATCTGTGTGCACCAGCTGTGCTTCTGAGTGGACCACCAACCAGCACTCCTACAGGTGACCTGTGCAACTTTGGGCCTGACTCCCGCTGTCCCACTCTCAGGGGAGCCCGGAACTTAGCCGCAAGGGAAGCCCTCTCTCCATTGGCCTCCATCACCAGGTACATGATAGTCTGGTCATCTCCTGTACTATGTCCACTGTCTCTGGTCATCTCCTGTACTATGTCCGCTGTCTCTGGTCATCTCCTGTACTGTGTCCGCTTCTCTGGTCATCTCCTGTACTGTGTCCGCTTCTCTGGTCATCTCCTGTACTGTGTCCGCTTCTCTGGTCATCTCCTGTACTGTGTCCGCAGTCTCTATTCATCCCCTGTACTGTGTCCGCAGTCTCTGGTCATCTGCTGTACTGTCTGCAGTCTCTGGTCATCTCCTGTACTGTGTCCGCAGCAGTGTCTAGTCATCCTCTGTACTGTGTCTGCAGTCTTCCGTCATCTCCTGTACTGTCCGCAGTCTCTGGTCATCTGTACTGTCTGCACTCTCTGGTCATCTCCTGTACTGTGTCCGCAGTCTCTGGTCATCTCCTGTACTGTGTCTGCTGTCTCTGGTCATCTCCTGTGCTGTGTCTGCTGTCTCTGGTCATCTCCTGTACTATGTCCGCTGTCTCTGGTCATCTCCTGTACTGTGTCCGCTTCTCTGGTCATCTCCTGTACTGTGTCCGCTTCTCTGGTCATCTCCTGTACTGTGTCCGCTTCTCTGGTCATCTCCTGTACTGTGTCCGCTTCTCTGGTCATCTCCTGTACTGTGTCCGCAGTCTCTATTCATCCCCTGTACTGTGTCCGCAGTCTCTGGTCATCTGCTGTACTGTCTGCAGTCTCTGGTCATCTCCTGTACTGTGTCCGCAGTGTCTAGTCATCCTCTGTACTGTGTCTGCAGTCTTCCGTCATCTCCTGTACTGTCCGCAGTCTCTGGTCATCTGTACTGTCTGCACTCTCTGGTCATCTCCTGTACTGTGTCCGCAGTCTCTGGTCATCTCCTGTACTGTGTCTGCTGTCTCTGGTCATTCTCCTGTGCTGTGTCTGCTGTCTCTGGTCATCTCCTGTGCTGTGTCTGCTGTCTCTGGTCATCTCCTGTACTGTGTCCGCTGTCTCTGGTCATCTCCTGTACTGTGTCCGCTGTCTCTGGTCATCTCCTGTACTGTGTTCGCTGTCTCTGGTCATCTCCTGTACTGTGTCCGCTGTCTCTGGTCATCTCCTGTACTGTGTCCGCTGTCTCTGGTCATCTCCTGTACTGTGTCCGCTGTCTCTGGTCATCTCCTGTACTGTGTCCGCTGTCTCTGGTCATCTCCTGTACTGTGTCCGCAGTCTCTGGTCATTTTCTTTATTATGTCCGTAGTCTTTGGTCATTTCCTGTACTATGTCTGCAGTCCATTGGTTCAGAATTTTTTTTCTTTTTTTTGCTCTAAAACCTAGGTGCGTCTTATGGAGCGAAAAATACGGTAATCTGTTGCTGCAAGCCACATGGGGAGGCTGAATCAGGTCTTCACTCTAGTGATCCAGATGCCACCATAAAGAAAAAATAATAATAAAACCACTGATGTATGCAATGTGCCAATATCTGTTGTTTTGTTTTTTTTTTTTTTTTTCTTTATTTCTTTTTAATAAACGTTTGTTACCTTTGTCATTGAATTTCAAGTTCTAGTTTAATAAATATGTTATAGTTATATTTTTTTTTTTCTCTCCTGCTCACAGGTTACAGACATCTCTTCCAACCTGTCATTAAACAAGTGATAGATTACTATCAGCCCACTTGTATTGTTTTACAGGTAAAGACACTGCATGCTCACTTGTTGGCACACACACTTTTATGCTCCAAGCCTTAGCTTTGTTCAGTGAACTGAGCTTTGAAAAAGTTTACTTATAATAAAGCACCTTGATATATGCCAAATATCTGTACTTTAGAGTAGATATTGAGTTGAAGTGTCACCACCAGTTAATTTTTTACTGAAAGCACACCCTGTGGAAAATAAGGCTATACTTACCTTGTCAGCAACCTATTTGTTGAAATTTCACAGCTTTACTTCTGCTCGGCTGTAGCAGGTATTTCACACTTTTTTTTTGAGGAAACATCAGCACAGTATCACTGATATCATTGAATTTTCATAAATAAAAAAAACAATCAGCAATATTCATCATCATATTTCTCTGATAGCATATTTATTTTACCTTCCCCCTTACTCCCCCCACCCCCTCCCCCCCTTTCCCCCCTTTCTTCTCTTTAATCAATATATAAACAAACAAGAATACAATACCCATTTTATCTATTACCCTCACCCACCCCAATCTCCCCCAACCCCCCTCCTATTCTAATATCTATCTGTATCTAGTACTATTCCTTTTTTATTCTTTTTCTCTCCTTTCCTTTAGGCCTTTATACTTTCTTTAAAACTACTTGATTTTCTATACTACCCCCTTTGCTCTAATTAATTCAACGTATGTTTCCGAGATCTTAAATTTAATCCAACCACTCCACATTTTCCTAAACATCTCCATTTTATCTCCTTTGTACATCTCAATTCCTCCATTCGAGCAATACCATCCACTCTATCTGTCCAATCTACAATCGTTGGGGCCTCCTTCACCTGCCAATATTTGGGAATCAAACTTTTTGCTGCACTTATCAAATGATACAAAACTTTATTTTTTCATAGTTCCGAGGCGGGCTCAAAATAATAAAATAGACATTTCCACGGGTCTCCCTGGATATCTACCCCACATATTTCTTGGATATATAATGCTATTTCCCTCCAGTTACACTTTAATTTTGGGCAGCTCCACCATATATTGTCAGGGATCTCCTCGATCCCCGCCGCGATGGTCCCGGCGCAGGCTCAGTGCACCGCCCTGTGCAGGGACACGGGCACTAGATCCGGGCCGGCTGCGGCGTTCGAGTTTGCGCATGCGCAGTAGAAGCCGCAGCCGCCTGCTGAGCACCAATGACAGCGCAGGGCGGGATATTTAAATGGCCCTGAGCTGTCATTCAGTGCCTTCTGGTCTTTCCTGCATCCTGTGATTCTGCGAACCTGTGCCCTGTAAGTTTTTTTGACCCGGATTGTACCTGACCTTGCTATTTTCTCCTGTCCTGACCCTTGCTTTGCCTGACCTCTCTCCTGGATGCCCCCTATTGGATTTGACCTGCTGTTGCTGACCTGGCGTGTGACCCGACCATTCTCTGCCCGCTGCCTTGTACCTTACCGTCCTCTCTGTTACCGACCCGGCCCGTCTGACCTTGCTCATCCATCCATCCATCCGCCCATCCCTCGCAGTGGGGTCTTCTGACCTCCTCATATCAGACTCTTACCCGTGGGAGCCCTTGGCGCATACCACTACCACTGACGGACGTACCCAGTAGCCACGACCTGGTCTCGGGGGGCTCCAAGTCCATCCCCACCATGAGGGGCCCTGGTGAACAAGCACCCTGGGACTTAGATTCCGTGCGCTGGGGACGCCTATTCAGTGGAGTGCTAGTGGTACCGCCGGGTGGTCCCTTACAGTACCAGAAGGCCATGACTGAGTCTAGAGGAGGGCCCTCTCCGCTTGAGGAGATCTGCAGGCACCTATCTAATTTGACACAGGCCGTATCGGCCCTGCAGAACAGATGTCTGCAGATTGAGAACCAGTTCCAGACCTGCACTATATCCGTCCCTGCCCCACAGGCCGCGGTCCCCGCACCCCCGCCGTAGCAGCCCCTGTGCCAGCTTCTGGGGCTTCCGCACCACTCCTGGCGGCCGAACCCCGAGTACCCTTACCAGAACGTTTCCATGGGGACCGCACACGCTTCAGGTCGTTCCGTGAGTCCTGCCTTCTCTATTTTGAATTACAACCACGGACCTTTGTGACTGAATCCGTGAAGGTGGGGTTTGTCATCTCCCTCCTGCAGGGTGAACCCCAAGACTGGGCCCATCAGCTGCGGGGAAAGAATGACCCTCACCTAAGTTCGGTTGACAATTTTTTTGACGCAATGGCCATCCTATACGACGACCCACAGCGGGCAGCTTCTGCTGAAGCTACTTTGTACACGCTCCGGCAAGGCCGTCGAGCGGCGGAGGAGTACGCGTCTGAGTTTAGGCGTTGGATGGGGGACACGCACGGGAACGAGTTTGCACTTCTGCATCAGTTCCGTATAGGCCTATCAGAAGGCCTGAAAGATGAGCTCGCCCGGGTGGAGGTGCCTGAGACATTAGAGGACTTAATTGCGCTGACCATTAAGATTGACCGTAGACTGCGGGAACGCAGGTTTGAGAGGTCCGGTCAGGGTCATGGAAATCCCTGGGGGTCATTTCAAGGCCCCAGCCAAGCAACTAGGCCAAACATCTAGAACCGGCCACCTGGAGATATCCCTGAACCCATGCAACTCGGCCTGGCACGGCCTAAACTATCTCCAGAGGAACACCAGCGCAGACGATCCCAGAACCTGTGCCTCTACTGTGGTGAAGCTGGTCATATGGTACGATCCTGCCCGCAGAAACTGAGTAAGTGCACCTCTTCTTCTTCCTTGTCCATTGGCAATGTTAGTCCATCCCAATACTTAGTGGTGCCCCTTTCCTTTCAGCTTCCAGAAAGGACCGTGGAGGTGACGGCCATAGTTGATTCGGGGCATGCAGCTGCTTCTTGGACATTAATTTTGCTCACCAGCAGGGTATTCCCCTCCAATTAAAACAGAAAGGGTTCAATATATTTTTGGCCGACGGTTCCCGAATAAAATCAGGGGTAGTGAACCAGGAAACCCCCTCCATCGCCACTGTCATTGCCGGCCAGCACCAGGAACTCCTCAGCCTGGATGCTATAGCTTCACCCTTTTCCCAGTCATTTTGGGGCTCCCATGGTTACGAGCCCATAACCCCCAAATTGACTTGGAGACCGGAGTAATCTCGTTCCCTTCCCCATACTGTCGGGTACACTGCCGCACTTCGGGCCCGGGGGTCCCCCAATTCCTCCTGTGCTCGGAGGGGGATGCCGATTTAAAACAAGTAATCCCTGCAGCCTACCATGAGTTTTTGGATGTGTTCAGCAAACGAGGAGCCGATACTCTACCCCCCCACCGCCCATATGACTGTCCCGTTGACCTGTTACCCGCTCAGAGATTTCCTTTTGGGCGAATCTTCCCCCTTTCGGAGCTCGAATTGGGGGCCCTGAAGGAATATATCGAGGACAGCCTCCAGAAGGGGTTCATACGCCCCTCCACTTCTCCAGCAGGGGCGGGAATTTTCTTTGTTGAAAAAAAGGACAAAACCTTAAGGCCGTGTATCGATTACCGGGAGTTAAACAGGATCACAAGAAAAAACCGTTACCCACTGCCATTAGTGCCGGAGTTATTCCAAAGTTTAAAAGCAGCAGTGGTTTTTACAAAGCTGGATTTGAGGGGAGCGTACAACTTGGTTCGCATAAGGGAGGGGGACGAGTGGAAGACGGCATTCCGCACCCGCTTCGGCCACCACTTTGAATATTTGGTCATGCCGTTCGGGTTGTGCAATGCTCCGGCCACTTTTCAACACTTTGTGAATGATATTTTTAGGGACTTCCTGGATGTCTTTGTTATCGTCTATTTAGACGACATTTTGATTTTCTCCCCTTCTTTAGGGGAACACAGAATACATGTAGCAAGGGTATTGGGGGCGATTGCGGCAGCATGGGTTGTACGCCAAGGCAGAGAAATGTTGCTTCGAACAATCCAGCATTACTTTCTTGGGCCTGATTATCTCCACCGCGGGGGTCGCGATGGATCCTCAGAAAGTCGCTGCAATACTGGATTGGCCTGAACCCACGGACAGGAAAGGCGTCCAACGATTTATCGGTTTTGCAAACTTTTACCGGAAGTTCATCAAGAACTTCTCAGGTCTGGTCTCCCCCATTACTCAGCTAACCAAGCTTTGAACTCGGTTCAGATGGACACCAGAGGCTCAGGAAGCTTTTGAAGCCTTGAAGAAGCTGTTCACCTCGGCACCCATTTTGGGTCACCCAGACGCCGCCCTGCCCTACATCTTAGAGGTGGATGCATCGGAGAATGCAGTAGGTTCCATTCTTTCCCAGCGGAAAGGCACCAAGGAATTGCTCCATCCTGTAGCATTTTTCTCACGGAAGCTTACCCCAGCGGAGAAGAACTATATCGGTGATCGAGAACTACTGGCGATCAAAACGGCGTTAGAGGAATGGAGGTACCTGCTGGGAGGTGCCGTGCACCCCATCTTGATATTTACTGACCACAAAAACCTGGAATATCTGAGGACCGCCAAGCGTCTACGCCCACGACAGGCAAGATGGGCATTATTCTTTTCGAGATTTAACTTCCACATTACGTACCGGCCTGGATTTGGATCAAAGAACACAAAGCCAGATGCGTTATCACGTATGTACGAGGACGCCAAGGAGATCCCAGTGCCCGACACTATCCTGTCCTCGGGTAACTTCTTGGCCCTTCAGTCGGACCTTCGTTCCAAGATAATGGAGGCGTCCACAACCGTCTCTACCCCAGTCGGAGGGCCCCTCCAGAACAAGGGGGGACACCTATGGAGGGAAGATCGGATTGTGGTGCCGGAGGAAGCCCGAACCCTGGTCTTGGGGCATTGCCATGACCACCCGATGGCGGGGCACTTTGGCCCAGAAAAGACCCTGGAACTTCTCCGACGCTCCTTCTGGTGGCCGGACATGGCTAAAGATTGTAAGGGCTATGTAAGATCCTGTATCACCTGCCAGAAGAACAAGCCATCAAGGAACAAAGTTTGGGGTCTGCTGCGCGACCCTTACCGATTCCTGAACGACCTTGGCA